GTATCTTTATGGATCACTAAAAGTTAAAACTTAAAATGCCTATTATCATTTTAAGCACTTTTGAAAAATTTTTAAATCATGTTCTATAATTATACTATCAATCAACAAAAAAGCATTGCATGTCATATTACCAAGTAAATAATCTAAAAAATTAATAATACTAGTATCACAGCAACTTAATATTTTAAGCATGGATACAAGAAATTTTAAAATTAAGATCTATCTAGCCACAAAACATCTACTAATGTAGATACTTTATACTTACATGAGATTTAACAAATTTAATAATTTTCATATCATAAATCTTAACATAATAGTATATGGTGAATGTCAATAACACATTTTTTTAGACAAATACACATAATAATTATGGTATAAACCAATCTCATATTCATGATAATTAATGTTTATGTGAGGAATATAATATTTTGAATATCACCAAACATGATTTCTAACAAAAAGTAAGGTAAATTAACCTAGTGAATTTTTAACAACAATACATTTTAGTCAAAACCTTTAATTCATTGAAATTTGCAAAACCTTTTTTTTTTTTTTGTTTGCTCTTATAGGCTGAACTTTTACTTTTATTCATTTTACTTTCACAACTCATTTTTATGACCAGAATCTTGATGCTAATATTTAGTGAGTTTCATACCAAAGACATGTTCCCAATACTTACTAAAAAAATAAAATTTTACTTATTGCTCTCTTAAAATATTATAGCACTATGATTAGAAAATAATTAATATTCTATGAGAGCATACTTAATTTATTAAGTATTTTATAAAAGCAAAAAATTTCAAAAAACTAGTTTAATAATTTATGTGAAGCAAATTCACTATGAAATTATTTAACACATATTATTTCTTATAATATTATTGCACATTTAACAGCAAAACTACTTCAACAGTCTGAGCCCTAAATACGAACATTTGGTTCTTGGAGCCCGAATTAAAACCTTGTGATTTGTTTGGTCTCCCCTGAATTTTGCCATATTTCTACCCTTGTGTACATAGGCAAATGCAACGATCACCTCAAGTTTAATCATTTTGGTTTGAATAAAATGAATTGTTTTCAATTTGAATTATTTTGAGTTTTAATTATTTCGGATTTGGATTTGATATTCGATTTATTTAGATTCAAATAATCAAGTTTAAATCATTTTCTATTCAAATTATTGAATTTTAAAATCAAATCAATAAAATTTAGATTATTTTGAGTTAATCTTTTTGGGCTATTTAGATATAGATCATTTCAAATTTTATTAATTCAAGTTTGAATTATTTCATGTTCAAATTAAACAAATTTAAATTGTTTACTTTTCTTGATTAAATCGAATTGGCCGGATGCAATGAGGTGAACAAAATTTTGGAATTAAGATCAATTTTGACAACTATTAAGTAACACTTACTTTTATTTTTATCAGATGTAATATTGCTTGGTTGATAAGATTTACCCTTTGCTCATGTTAGGTTATTTAACCTCTTTTTAAAATTAAAATTAAAAATTTTGAAAAAAGAAATCTTAACTCTAAACCTAAGATAGCATTGAGAACTACATTATCATTTGTCTTCTTTCAAAATTTGCACTTCCTTGTCAAAGTCAGTTTCTTCTCTTGATTCAGTGATCAAACAACTTAATAATATTAGTTTAATTTTGTTATTTTATTGATGAAGATATAAATTTATTAAGTAATTTATTAATTTAATTTGCAAGCCATTTTTATCATCTAAGAGTGTATTAGAGTTTTTTTGAGAAGTTAAGTTTAGTTTTCAAGCTAATTGAAATTTCTAATCCAATTGAACATGTGTAAAAACTAAAAGAAAAATGTTAAACCGAACATAATGGCACTAATTAGTAAAACAGTACATCAAAAACCTTTCACTAAATAGTATTTTCACTACTCTTAGTCATTATCCTTAAGCACCAGTTCACGAGGTCCAAAAACTAATTAAGTATTGTTTGATAAATGGTGCTATTTAATTTATTGAAAATTAAAATTTTAATTATTTAATTATTTCAATGCCTCATATATTCATTTGAGAATTTACTTAAATTGACTATTTAGATTATGAAAAGTGTTGAAAATGAATTTAGTTAATACCAGTGTAATTTAAGGTTAGCTTGTAATTCAATTACGTAAACCTTATATTTTTTGGCATCAGTTACATGTTCTTTCTATTTTCAAAAATAACAAAAGAAACGCACATGATCTTTCTTAATATCTTTCAAGTAACAAAAGGCAAAACGTGCATGTTCTTTTTTACCTTTTTTTTTTTTTTTCAATTTTTATTAGATTTAAAATCTCTATAGAGTCATTTACCTCGCTTGTGAAAAATGATATAAACGTCACATAAATGGATTTAATATTTTGAAAAAAAGACATGATGAATTTATTTTTATTATAAATGCTAGAATATATAAATGACTAAGCAAATATACAAAATATTAAGAAATTAATTTAAAACTTTGATTATTAATTTGATGGGAAAAAAAGAATCTCTTCACCGACCAATGAATTAATGATACAGCTCATTGGATATGAAATGGTTCAAATTTTGGAATACAATGGCACTTACTTGTTGACAAGCTGTTGAACATTGAACTTATAAAGATTTATTATTATTGAAATTTAAATTTGAAAAATTCCAGAAAGAGAAGCTTCGTTGCTACTCAAATTCATATTCATACAGCAATAAATATAGCACCGTCTAATCTCTATCAGAGATTCGGAGAACGCTGAAGCTTCATTTACTCTTCCTCACATGCCTCCTCTCTCATTTCCACCAAACTAAGCATTAATAAGTCAAGAAAATAATTTCTCTGCTGCTTTTTAGTAGTATTGATGTAGTACAGATATCCGATACTCCATTTCAATGGTTTTTTTTTTTTTTTTAAATGAAAGAAGTCATAATTTGAAAATAAAAAAATTACAAATAGTAAAATTGAATTTTTAAATTTATTGAACGTTAGCATATAAAGGTAATTGTAAGAATTAATTAAAACTAAATTTCAAAATTCAAAAGTGAATAATAATATATATGTAGAAACTTAATTTTATTCTAATATATTTTGAATAAAATTTGATGGCGTTAAATTAAATATGAAATTAGATAAAAATTAATTAAGAGAGGTAAAATATGGTAGATCAATTTTGATCTTAGAATAGTTTAAAAGTACCAAAAGAAATATAAGCCTATATTAGATAGAACTGGCTACATAATTTTAGCAAATATAAAATATAAAATAAAAGGGAAAATAGCTGTACTTTTAGGATTTCTCTAACAATTTTCCTTTAAAAGTCTTTCCTACTAACAATTTTTTAAATAGGTGATAACAAACTTTTAGGACCTTATCGTTACCAAAAAATAAATTTTGGGACCTCAGTTTTCACTTGTACAAATTAAGGATCCAAAGTTTCAATAGTTTTTCAATTCAGACTCTTGTATTTTATTTTAATAATTTTTAAAATTTTCATTTTTTTTAATAAATACATTTTTTATAGCAAAGTCTCAATATTTTAGCTTCATTATCCTTGTTTGTGATTTTCTTTTTCAATCAACCAGCCTAGATAATCATCAAAATTAATGGTCATGATTCAAATGGAACTCATGGTGTTCACGATAAGATCGAGTTTGCACCCTAGTCATCACCTCTTTTTAAGAAAAAAAATATTTTTTATTATGTTTTCCACGTGCAATAAAACAGTGCATACATATAATTACACAGTTGTTATTATTACAAACATGCCTGAATTAGAAAAATATTTAAAATTTGAATCCTTAATTGGCACATTTGAAAGATGAGGTTTTAAGATTTATTTTTGTAGAGTTTAAATCCTAAATATTGGTTTCAGCTTTAATTAAATATATCCAATTTAATTGGATAAATGACAAAGATAATTTTTTTATAATATTAATTCTTTGGTTAGAACCAACTTTTAAGGTCTCATCTTTTTATTTTTTTGGGTAATACAGTTAATGGCATCTCTAAACTTTACTTGAGCCTGATTCATTTTTCGATCAATTTTAAAAATACACTTTCCTATATCAATATATATATAATTTTACTTTTGGAGTGTTCCTTACTCTCCAATTAAAGACTCAAATTTTCAAACACTTCCAATTCATCCATGTTTGTAATGGTAACATACATTTTTTATTGCATGTGAAAAGTATAAACTAGGAAGCCATTTTTTAAAAAAGGTGATCACTGGAGTGGAAAATCTTACAATGAACAACATGTACTTCTTTTGAATCATGATAGTCAAATTTGATGATATTAATAATAATTATTGGGTCAAAGATGGAGTCATTTGTGGTTGAGAAAAGAAAAATTACAAATCAAAATAATGAAATCAAAATAATGAGACTTTACTACCAAACAATACTGTGCCTATAAAAAGTAAATAGAATTTAAAAAAAAAAAACTTAAAATTATGAATGAGCTTTAAATTATAATTAAATATTTAATATGATATTTGAATTTTATAAATATTTAATATAATATTTGAACTATAAATTTTTTAATTAATATAATATTAATATCTAATATGACTAATTTTAAAATGATGATATGTGATGAATAAATAATTTTTAAAATATTATATTAATTAATAAATTAATAATTTAGATACATTTAAAAATATTTAAAATTCAAGAAAAAAATTAAATATTTTATTTTAATTTTAAAATAATTTGTAACATCAATCCTTTTAAAAATGATTAAATAAAACACAAAAGCATGAATTGAGAGAATATAGAAATTTTAATTTTTAATTAGTACAAATAAAAAATAAAATTAAAAATTTTGGTTTTGTACGAAAATTGTCTTGGCCATTTTAAATTATGGCTAGGCTAAATTAAGGAGGTAATATAAACGCAATAACAGCATGCTGCAAAAGCAGAGGCGGCCACAAAAAGCCTGCTTTCATGCTGACAAAATTTATTCGTTTGCTCTGAAGAAAAAGACAAAAAAGCTTTAAATTACGTTTCAAAACGATCAGAGAAACAGACAAATTGGAGTGTAAACGTTAACAAGTAACATAATAACTCGTTGTTATCAAACCAAAATTATTTTAAAAAACATAATTAAAATTCTCAGATGCTACCTAAAATTTCGTGCCAAGTTAATGGCAAATCCAAATAGATGCTACCAAAGTAAAGTCAAACAATAATTTCACGTTCACCTCTTTCATCAAAAACAATCTCACTGTCTCGTTCATTTTCTTTTTTGATGCTATAGATCTTGAAACAAAACAAAGAGACAAATCCACAAAGTTAAATTAAAAAAAAAAAAAAAAAGAAGACCTAGTTAGCACTCATGTCACGAGATTTTTTTCGTTAAACTTCGTTATTTACTGCAGTGGTTTTGTTTTGAAGCAATGAATTTTTGCAATGAGCAATAGCACCTTGAATTGCACTCTGCAGTTCTTCCATTGACGATGTATCAGAATAGTGCATGCCAGAACCAGCACTACCGACCCGACCAGTATTCGTGCCCATGGTTGGAAAGCCGTTGCGGGAAAGCACCCCAGAGTGGCTTGGTGAGGACCGCATCGATGAAGGACAACTTGAAACGCAGCTTCTCCTTCTTCGGTACCTTAAGTTTCCCGAGAAAGAGTGAGAAAATCCACTATTGCTGCTTTCTTTCCTTGCATTTATCTTCTCTATGTCTTTGACAGATCTCTCTGGCTTGATGGAGAATGAAGCTGGACCTGACTTTGTTGATGACAAAGCTGAAACTACGCCGATTCCTCCCACTTTATGTTGTTGCTTTTGGGATAGTTTTTCATACAATGGCTTCACTTTCTTCAAATATTTCCTTATAACTTCTTTTGCAGTTGTGCTAATTTTTTTAACTGATGAAGAAGCTGCTGCCATGTTTTCCTGGTCCTGGTTCTTGTTATTTTCCTTCTTGAACACAGAAGAGAACCTAGACAAAGAAAAATACTTGCTTTTCTTTATCTGGTAGTAATTCAACTGGCCCTGATGACTTGAAAACAGTTGATTCCCATTGTTAAGCCTTTTAAACTCATCGTCTTCGGTGGCAGAGCTGGGCCTGGAGGAGTCACAATCAACAAGCAAAACAAGATCACTAGTGAAAGATGAGTGCGAGTCGTTCGAACTGCCAGTGGAGTCACGAGAGGCTGTGGCGGAGGATGTTTCGGAGGCGGAGGAAGTGCTGGAGGAGGCTAAAAGGAGGGTACGGACCATGGAGAGACGAGGAGAGAGGTGGAGAGGCAAGAGCTGGCCTTTGTAGAAGAGTTCGTCAGCTGGACGAAGGGTGGAAGAGGAGTTGGCCCGTGGGGAAAGAGAGATTGTGAACTCAAAGTCGGAGGAGGAGGAGGATGAAGAGAAAGAGTGTGAAGGAGATGGGGGTAGTGTTTGAGATCTTGAAGCTATTTTCTCTTTTCTCTTCCCCATTTTTCAAAACCTTACCTTCATGATTATCAACACCAGCAACAAAAATAAAAACAATGGGAAGCACCTAATATCTTCTAAAACGTAAACTACTAGTCTTATATCCAAAGGGAGAAGAAAAAGAGAGGGGAAGGACTTTGGGTTTGGGTGCAAAATGCAAAGTAGAGATGAGATGCTGATTTAGGGAGAGAAAAGGATGGGTCATTTCTTGTTTGGGTTGTTTTTGACTTCACGCGCGACTTGGTGGAACAGAATCTACGCGCCTCCTCATTTTTATTTAATATTTTACATATTAAGTGAAAAAAATGGTTTAAATACTTAAATGACTGTGTTGGTCAGTGTATAATTTTCGAATTTACTCTTAAATTTTTTTTTTTTTTTAAATGTAGGTTGAGAGAGCATTGGTCATGGTAACTTTCATTTGACCTGATAATAAGGATCATGATAGATCCAATTATATCAATAAAACAGAATTCACTTCAAATCATAAAGTAACTTGACTTTGATCATTTTCATCGAAGAGTTGTCATTAAAAAATTGCTCCTCAATTTACTAATCATTCTTCTCGACGGTAAATAATTATTAGCTTGAATTTTATTGCTGACTTCTTGAATTTTTTTTATAGCCGTTGTTTGAAAATAAATAAAAAAAGAGATTATAAATATTAAATTTTATTTTACAAAAAGGAAAAATATTTAGAATATATAAATAAAGAAATTGTACAAGTATTGAGACTCCTCCTATGAAACTTAATAATTAAAGGGCGTCTTTGCATGGCTGAGTTTGAGCCTTTGGGGTTGAAGTAGTGAACAATACGTTAAATGGATGGCAGTAGGACCACCTGTTCTATATATGCATTAGCTAGGTCGAAACGTGTCTCTCTATCTCCTTTCCTTTACTATAGTCTTTTATTTTTTATTTTAATTTGAGTAAATTAAATTTCTTTGGTTTCTCTCTCAATGTGTGCAAAAGTACGTGAGGTAAACAGTCATGTGTTATGTGATTGCTTATGCTGTTATGCAGCTAGGTCTCACGTGCCATAAACGTGAAAGGTGGGGTTGGATCATGGGATGGGGTTTAGAACTTGAGAAAAAAATATATAACCATTTTATTTTTCTACTAATTAGGGTTGGCAGTGGCAGCAGGGCAGGGAGGGGCAGCCACAAACCCTAGGACTACTGTAATTAAACATGCTGAATAAGATACTTAATTTACTACTATCTATTTAGGTACAGATGGATATAGATACCTTTATTCTATTTAGGTATAGATGGATACAGATACCCTTATATAAATAAATACTAGTACTACTAGTAATTATTTAAATAAACGACTTTATTTTTACTGCTACTATCTCTAAGGCCCTGTTTGGATTCAAATGAGGCACGATATAGTGCAGTCAGGATCACTTTTGATCCTAACCATTGGAGGGTGTCAGAAGTGTCACACATGGAAAGCATTGTCATCCTGCTACATCCCTTTTTACCCGTTACCCTTCCGGTTGACAACTAATCTCATTATACCCATCTATTCCCACCAAAGCAACAGGATCACAGGACTTGACAGAATCCTCCATTCACTGGGGTAAGAATCAGTCCTACCGTAAGCCGCGCCATTGGCCAGGCTGTCGGAGTTGTAAGCCTATCTCGTTCTTCTCCTTATTAACCTTTGTCTATATCCATCGAACTCCACAATTTTGGACACTTTTAACGTTTTCATCATAAAAAATAAGAATTTCTTTAAATTGTGGTCCGAACATATCTACGCCTTGGCCTACCCCTGCCAACAACCATTAAGGGAGATGACAGTAGATAGATCAATAATTCTCCGGTTTACCCTTTTTTTTCTTTTTTTTTTTTTCCAAAAGTTCTTTTTCAACTTCAAACCCCTGAAACGAATTTGTTGGCATACATACAATTCAATATATTTTAGGGTTATGTTAGATTTCTAAATTATAATAAAATATTTAATATAATATATATTTAAATTTTAAAAATTTTTAATATGATATCTAAACTATTAATCTGTTAATTAACATAATACTCATTTCTATCATAATTAACTTTAAATGATGATACATGATAAATAAAAAAATTTTAAGTATCATATTAATTAATAAATTCATAATTCATGTACCACATTAAATATTTTAAAATTCATGTATCACATTAAACTTTTTACCATAATTCAAAAATCATTCATGAAATTAACTTTGTTTTTATATAATGTGGTTGAAGTATTTTCGAGTTTTGCTTAAGTCTAACTTTACCTTAAATGATGTTAAAGCGTATTCCCTCGTGATAAATTGGGGCATTCATAATTTCACTTTTATAATAATTTGGGTCAATAGTACTTGTAGTTACTAAATTTTGATCTTTAATCTTTAAAAATTTTAATTGGATTCCCAATTTACCAAAGTTGTCATACTTTGGTTCTTCCATTTATGAAATCGTCTAAATTAATAACAAATGTTAGCTAGCACCATATGATGACGTAGCTAACATTAGGGATGGCAATGGGTTGGGTCAGGATAAGTTTTTACTCATCTCAAGCCTAACCCAACTTTGTACTCATTGTCATAACGTATCGGTCCAAAAACTGGATTGTTAGACATGAAAAGTTAGAGAGTTTTCAACAATATTTTTTGTTAAGATATGATTAGCTACCAATCTTATCTTTTGATCTAATTGAGGTTGAGTTCAAGAGTACGGTTACGCATGGAGAATGTTATAGTACTCTAACAGCACCTATCCGAAGATGGTACTAACTAATTTTATAAAATCCTAAAATGGTCTTATTTGAGTAGTCTTTTACTTATTACTTTATCGTTTTTATTATTTGAATATTGAAAATTTTCAAAGTTATTTTTGACACTTTCGATATAATTTAAGAAATTTTCTCACCTCAATAATATTAAAAAAAATCCATTAGTTCCTTGAAGGAGCTCCATCATTGAAATTATTTTAATATTTTAAAAGCAAAGTATATCATAATTCTATTATACAAACACTTATGATAAAAATTTGGAAAAGAGTCACAGCTTGTAACTTCCTCTCAATTTCATCATCGATGAGAATTTTAATCTATTTTATAATGTTTATTTATTATTTATTTTATTATTGAAGTAAAAAATTTATTGGTTAAATTCTCTAAATATTTTCAACACTTTTGAACTATTTTGAGAAAAATACCTTACCTAAGAAATTTTGATAAAATCACCACTCATGACTTTTATTCTTATAAAATTTTATTTACCTTGACAATTTAAGTATTTTATATTTTATTAAGTTTTATTGAAATGATTTTCAAAAATCTTACCAATATTTTTGGCAAAATTTTGAAAAATACTTTATTAAGAATCACCATTTGTGATTTTATTACCATTGTTATTATTATTTATATATTTATTTAATTCTTGCTATTTATTCAAAATGAATATTATTGTTATTATTCTTATGTTTGAAAATTTCTAAAATATTTTAGAAAATTTTTTATGTAAATATTTTTTAAAAAAATCAATACTTGTGATTTTATTTTTTATTAATAATTTTTTATGTTTGAAAAAAAATTATAAAATATTTCTAACATTTTTATAATATTTTTAACAAATTTTTTTTGTAAATATTTTTAATAAAATCACCACTTGTGATTTTATTTTTATTTTATCATATTTTATTTATTTTTCATTATTTATTTTTATTCATTCGTTATTATAATTTATTTATTTATTTATTTTTTTAACATATCCTAAATTATAAATTAGAATACTGAAAATAAAACAAATAATAAAAATGAAATAAATAATAAAAAAATAATTTTTTACAAGTCAATTCTGAGTCAACGTCAATCAACAACGAGCGATCTAATCAATCTAGAATGGTCCAGCGGCAGTCTAACATTAGTTCGGATGAACAGATCAAAGTTAGCAGCAAGTCAGGTCATGGGTCGAGTGTGTGAATCCCAAGTTAGATCCTAGTCCATGCGCGGATCATTCTTACTTAAAACATCATTATTTTGTCCTCTTTTTTTTAGCATTATAAAAGGTCAAAAAAAATTTTATTTCATTTTTTCTCTAAACCTTCTCTCTTTAAAATACAAAATCCCATAGGAAAACCCAAATGACCCATAAGCCGATCGATCACTACCGTGTCGACAACCATCATTGATCATCGGCACCACTGCCAGTGACAAAAAAATTCTAAAAAAACCATTTGACTCTTTTTTTCCCCTTAACACAAATCTAGTTTATGTTTTATGAGAAATGATCTCAATTGAAGTAGATCAAGGCCTAAATTTTGGTCAAAATTTTATTTTATTTTTTGTTTTTATTTTTGGCGTTGAGATTTTCTATTACCATAGGTTGTGATTTTTTATTTCTTTTGTGTTTGCGTGTTTGGTTTTTATTTTGTTATTCTTGGATTTTGACAAAAAAGCTTTTTTTTTTCTTGATCTGGCATAGTTTTTTTTTTTGGTGAACTTTCTTTTATTTTTCTAAGTTTTGTTTCTTTTTTTTTTTTAGGTTTTTGCAAGCTTTTTTAGGGGCTAGCATAGCCTTTGAGGGGCTTTTTTATTGGCAGGGCTAGTGCTCGAATAAGGAAAAATGGTTTGGTCACCTTATCATCTCAAGCCTAATCACTTGTATTGAATAGTGATTCCTTAAAAAACCTAAATTTTGTTTTCATCATCTTTTTTTTTGTTTCATCAATTTTTACTTTCTCTTTTTGGGATTATTTGAATATTCAAAGTGTACGATGTAACCATCAACCTTTTTTTTTTTTTTTCATTTTCACAACTCCTATGACAACCAGCCTTTATCCTATCTTGATAAGCCAACAAGGTTTATGTGCCAATGGAAATTATGTTGATAGGGTTTATTTAGGTCCCAATTGTTCACATCATCATTAGATAGTGGCATAAACTAGGCAACCTTTGGGTAAATAAGAAATCAAAATCATGCTCTTCTGTCAGTATACCTCTAGATGTGAAAATGGTGTATTTGTGCATTCGTGACTATTTGAATGACTTTGTGTTCGAAGCATAGCCTTGACATCTATCAAATCACTAAAAACAAACCACCATATTTGTCTGATTTTGAAAGAACTTAAAAGGTTTTTCCAAATTGATCATTTTAGCGTTTGTTGT